GGCCGGGCGCGGCCTTGGGGTGCGAGCTGCGCGGGGCGGGGTGCCTGGCGCCCCGCGGAGCTGCAGGGGCAGGTTGGCGTGGCCGGGTGGATGGAGCTGCTTGTTCACCTTTATTCTACTCTGCCGGCGAGGCTTTCGTCACGAGCCCCTCCCCCAGCAGGTTCCAGTTGGTTCCCTGGGTGAGCGCTCCTTTTCGCTCGAAGTGGAGCGGAGTGTTTGCCTGAATTAATTTCTCTTAGTGGGGAGTATTAGGGAAGATTGTTGGAAAGAGCTAGTGTCGTGTTCGAACTTGCTGGGGGTTAGAGTCCCCAAATCTGAAAGCTGTGGCGTCTGCCTGTGGGAGACCACCCGTTCAATTTTGCACAAGATTTCGCTTATCAGATTATCTTTGGGCCCCTTGGATTAGTGATTATGTAAGGTTTGACTTTTGTGGGGGCGGGTCTTGTTTGAGACAGGGTTTCACTATACAGTTCAGGCTGGCCTTGAACGCATTTTGCATTTTGTAGCCCAGGCTGGCCTCGAACTTGCAGCGATCTTCCAGCCTCAGCCTCCCAGGGAGCACGCCTGGCTTTGGGGGATTGACTTTTTAAAGGACATTTTTAGGTTTGACTTTTTAAAAGACATTTTGCTGGGAAAGGTGATTAAATCACAGGTATTTTTTGTTTGTTTTGTTTGGAACCGGGAATGGAACTCAGGACCTCAGGCTTGCCAGGCAGGTGCCTTGACGCTGAGCTATATCCCTGGCCCTAAGTCAGAGATACTGTAAATGTCTTAAAGTTCTTGAAATCGCATGGTAGCAGAAAGTTTCAACAACCATTGTGTTTTAACTTTTTCTTTCCATGCAGAATGCTGAAAGCTTATTTTCCTAAGGACCTTCCAGACCCTGTCCTCTTTTTTTCTTCATTTGTGGTTAAAGGACAAAATAATTTTTTTTTTTTTCTGCTTTCCTTAGGGGTATAGTTGGTTTTGATCTGAATTGAAGTTATTAGGTCCTGCGTGCACACCAGGAAAATAGAGTCCATTCTTCACTATCAAAAGTTTTTCTTTGCTTGTTTAACCTCTTGATTGTGCTCGGTTACAGTTTTCTGCCAGTTAGGTTTGGTAGCCCACAATCCGTAACCCTCAGCCCCGAGGCCCGCTGAAGTTGCATTCTGCCTGTCTCGCCTGCAGGAGTTGCACATTTGAATGTACTGTATTCCCTAGTCTTTATATTGATTTGATAAGGGTTATTAGAAGCTGGGGGTGAGGTAGGTGAAGAAAATTTCGAAGGTGTTAACTCCTGGGAGACAAAATGATGTAACTACGAATGCTCTTCTCAGGGTATCTGAAATAATTAAAGGCCTTCTTTTTCACATGAGAAGTCAAAGAACTAAGTTTTTTTGGAAAAGGAAATAGCATATAGGGGAAAAGTTGCTCTATGCTAAGTGTCAGTTTTAAATCACAAGTGTTAGTCATCATCATTCTTTTGTTGCTTTCAGAGATTATCTTGAACATATAACAGCCTTTGGCCCCAGGACTACAGGAAGTCCAGAAAATGAAATTCTGACGGTGCAGTACCTTTTGGAACAGATTAAACTCATTGAAGTTCAAAGCAGCAGCCTTCACAAGATTTCAGTAGATGTACAGCGGCCCACAGGCTCCTTTAGCATTGACTTCTTGGGAGGTTTTACAAGCTACTATGACAATATCACCAACGTTGTGGTAAAGCTGGAACCCAGAGATGGAGCCCAGCATGCTGTCCTGGCTAACTGCCATTTTGACTCAGTTCCAAGTTCACCAGGTGTGTGTCTTGTTCACAGTCATTTCAAGTCATTGCACTGCAGAAAGTTTATTAACATAACCTTAAGCTACTTGAGCAGTTGTGGGAACCATTTCTATGGTTAAACTTTTTTTCATTGTGTTGGAAGGCAGGGTAATAAGTATCAGGATAGAATCTAATTGCCCATTATTCTCCTAAATGCTTTATTATTATTATTATTATTTTTTTTTTTTTTGTCTTTTTGAGACAGGGTTTCACTATGCGGTTCAGGCTGGCCTTGAACTCACTTTGTAGCCCAGGCTGGCCTCAAACTCAGAGCAATCCTGCCACAGCACCTTGGGAGCTGGGATTACAGGCATGCGCCACTATGCCTGGCTCACGTTATTATTATTTTTAACATAAATACCAGCCACCCAGTGACGGTACATGAAGTGTTTCTGATGTACCCTTATCAGTGTTACTGGACAGTGTGTATGCCTGTGTCTTAGAATCAGATTCTGTTGTTTCAAATGTTTATGTGGCTAATTGTTGTAATGGGCTTTGGGGACACCGGGTAAGGGACAGTCTTTGACAGTGATGCATAGTTTGGAGGACATCACTTCTAGTATTTTCTATTGACCTCTGGAGGGAGAATTTTGGTCCACTGGGAGTGTGCCACATTGTTAGAGCACTAATTAACTTAAATTCTTGCTGTGAAAAATATAGGCAAAATAGATGTTTAGGAATTTAGGAATTAGGCAATTAACGTTTAGGACAGTGCCTAATAATTATAATTTCATAAATGAGAATCCCCAAAATTACTTTCACTTAGAAAACTAAGATCTCAGAAGAATGTTTTTGGTAGTTAAGATAGGTAAGGTAGGTAGGTGACAATAGAAAATAGCCTTTTACAATGCTGTTGTAGCATTTTAGATTGGAGATGGCATCTGGCTCAGCTTTGTCATTTGACACCGGAATAAATTTAGCGGAGCACTGCTGATGAGAGGTGGAATTGGGATCAGATGCTGGGTTTCCTGCCTAGGCTGTTCTTACAGCTGTATTTGGAAGGAAGTTTTAGGGTTTAGCTAATGATCCTTTCAGTGCTCATCTATTATATGGAAATACAATAGTAATGTCCTAATAGTGTTGCTCAAAGGATTAAATATTCTGGAATGGCAGCTTTCAGGGAAAGTCTACTTTTTTTTGTTACTGATTTTATTTTTTTTTTTTTTGGTTTTTCTCTGGTACCGGGAACCGTACTCACGACCTTGCGCTTGCCAGGCAAGCGCTTTTGCCGCTGAGCTAAATCCCCAGCCCCTGTTACTGATTTTAAATATTAATGCTTTTAGATTACTTGAATCTATAGCAGCTCCAGTATAGTTACATAAAATATATAATTTATTTGCTTGATAAAACAATTTACATCAGAATTATCTTTAATTAGAAAGCTAGGCAATTACATTTAGAGTGTGCTTTGCTTTTTTTAGACGTTAATATGCACACATCTGTTATATAAAGGCAGAAGTATCTTTGTGTACTCTGAATAAACCAGTGGAACAAATGTCACTGCACTTAATAGCATCATTATTATAATGCTCAAATTCTGGGAAGGTGCAAATAAATACCATGGTTGCTAAAGAACAACTATGTAAGATGTGTAAACAAATATCAGAAACTGGTATAGAGGAAGAAAAAATAATTTTCCCTCTACCCTTCATAATTTTTAGATGGTATAGACCCCTAAATTATGAAAAGATAGATTAACAAGAAAAAGTTAATTGCTGTGTATATATCCAGTATACGTGGGGGATATCCAGGGAAAATGAGTAAATCTCAGAGATATATGGCATCTGGTTTGCATAGCATCTTCGACAAAGAGTAATGCCTTTTTGGAAAAGTGAAAGAGAAAGAAAAAGGACTTTGAGTCTATGGGCAGCAAGTTGTGAGATGGCAAATACAGGATTTAGTAAATAAAGGCTAGTTAGTAAAGTTTGTCCTCTAGAGGATAGATTTCCTCTGATGCTATCTGTAGGCTAATGAGGGTCTAAAGTTGTCTTTAGTGATCAACCCTTGTCCTTCCTGGTAGAGGGAGCAGGGCGAACAGCTTTTCTTGTACTGTCTACTGCTCAATTGATTTTAGCTCAAAATTCATGTTTTAGGGTGACTTTTTTTGAGACAAGGTCTTGCTGTGTAGTTCAGGCTGCCCTTAAACTCACTGTGTAGCCCCCACTGGCCTTGAACTTGTAGCAGTCCTCCTGCCTCAGCCTCCTGAGTGCTGGGATTACAGGTGAGGCCAGGGTGTCACCTCAGCCAGGGGTGACATATTTTACTACCCTTCACACAGTACCAATTGCTACAAATTGTCAGAGTCCATTAATTAAAAGATGGCATTCTTGTGAACCAGTAGAACCTGTTTTATAATTTTATAGGAACATCTGTATCAACAATCTCAAGGAAATTTATGTAAATAGTAAAAATAATCTTTTACATGTTCATCAGTTAGGATATCACCCCAGTCCTTTTAGTGGATGATCTTATTGAAGCATGGGTTTTTTCTCTTTTTCTCTCTGTGATGCTGGAGTTTGTCTGTTTTGGGTTTTTTTGAGACAGGGTCTCACTATGTAGTTCAGGCTGGCTTTGAACTCGAGGTGATCCTCCTGCCCCTCCTGAGTGCTGGGATCACAGGTGTGCGCCAGCATGTCTGGCTTGATGCTGGGGTTTGAACCAGGGTCTTGTGCCTGTCAGATAAATACTCTGCTGTTAAGCTGTACTCCCATCCCCATGACTGTTGTTTTAAAAGTTTTTAGCAGTGTATCTGGAACTCAGGAACTGCTACCAGTTCAGAGTAATATTACCCACAGAAAGGCCTTAATTATCTTCTTGGGTCTGTTGTGTAGTTCTCCAGGTCACTGATAGAAGAGACGTTGAGTTATTTTGGGAATGGCTTCAATTTCAGTGTTAATTCTAAGTGAAAAGAGATGTTGGTTAATGATCCAACACCTTTAAATACTATAGTGTCTTCTCTCTTTCACTTTGTTAAAAGTATTTGACCCTTCTCTAGTTCTCTTGTAAGACAACAGAACTATTAGTATAAGGGAAAAGAAATGGACAGTTTAACTTGTTAATCCTATAGATACCTTTCAATTTCTTCTTTATTTTGAGTACAGAAAATTTTTTTTACTTTCAGGTAACTCACAAAATAAAAAAGCTTATATCATTTGGTTTCTGAAAAGGGGCACTATTTACTGTATATATCTGGCTTGATAGTAGATAACTCTTACTTTTGTTTCACTTTGACTAAAATATAACCCAGGAGTCACTACTAAGACAATATTTGTTCTTGAGTAGGAACACAGTCTGGAATTTAACATAGCCTAACAAGCATTTTATTTAGCTGGCTACAGGGCCTTCCCTCAGCTTACAAAGAGAAGGAAAAGTGAACACTGAATGCCTTCCACGTGCTGGGCATTAGGTGTATTTTGTGTGATCCTTGCCACAAACCTATGAGGTGGATGTCATTAGTTTGTTTTCTTTTCGAGGAAACAGTGAAGTAAAGCAACAGAGCTAAAGTTTACTTCTAAGTCTTTCCTGTTGTACAATCCCACTAAACTCTATAGTACCCTTCCTTCTGCACAGGCCCAGAAGTGCCATTGCCTGAGTTATGATAGTGTTTATTTTGAATCCTCTTTAAATTTATTATGGAAAATTACAGATATATAGAGGAACAGTTTAAATGCATCTGTCACTGAGGTTCAACAGTCCATCCTTACTTCTTTGCTACCTTGGCCTTCCAGCTCCTTATTTTGAGGCAGATCTTGGCTGTATTGGTTCCATGGGTAACTGTTTCAGTCAGTATTGCTGAAAGATAAGCATCCTTGTTGACATGTTGACAATACCTTGAGTTATTGTACCTAAAAGCCAAACAGTCCAGTTGGGGATGAAGCCCAGTTATAGAGTGTTTTCCTAGCATGCAGTAGGCCCTGGGTTTGACCTGAACTGTAAAACATCCTCCTGCTGAAAAACTTCATTCCTTAGTATCATCGAATAGCTTGTCAGTTCTTTTTCCTCCTGTAGTGCTTTTAAAACATCAAGGCACTAGAGTCCTTTTTATCTCTTAATTAACATACAAAGTTGGTCACACATGTGGGGGCACAGCAGGTCCCAGAACAGACAACGCCCAAGGCAATAGGGGCTGCTTCAATCCTGAGAGTGATCAGTTGCTAGGCAAAGCTGCATCATGTGACACTGACTTTGTCAACTGTATAAGGAAACTGCTCCTGAGGTGATTGATCAGTTTTCCTTTTCTCCCATCTGGAGAAAGGGAGTACTCCACTGACCTCAGCTTTTTTCTCTTATCTTTATTTTTTTCCTGTCTTCTCTCTGTCCTTCCCTGGGAACTCCAAGAGCTAAGCAGGCCACAGCACAAAGTTTCTGAGTTAAGAAGGTAGGAGGTGTGACTAAATTCTCTACTTTTTCAGTACAGGACTTAGGGATACAATTTAGGCCATTATTCTCCTTTCCTTTGTCTTACTAGATAGCTGTATTCTTTGTACTTTTTCATTACATGATTCCCTTAGAAAAACATTGAAAAATACTATATTGTCCAAACTGACCCTTATGTGGATGTGGAATTATCTATGGCTTTTATGATTTTTATAGGAAAACAAACAAGGGAGTGAATGGGGGTGAGAGATGGAGGAAACTGTGTGTACCACAAGTGAGTTTATTACAGAGGATATTAATAAGTATAAAGAATGACACAAATGGCCTTGGGTTGCTGAAAATGCCAGTTTTTAGTATGACTTTATTTATGTCTCACTTGACTTGTTCAGGAGATACTGAGTATCTTCAGTGAGCCAGGCACAGTTCTAAGCATTGATAATAAGTCAGTGAGCAAACCAGACAAAGATCTTTGTGGGGCTTATCACTGGTGGGTGTAATTGTTGCCTGATGATACTACTGGTCATGTAGCTGTTTTAATGCTTCTCAGAGGGGACACCTCCATTCTTAGCCATAGTGGTTCATAATGTAAAGGCTTTGAAATCTGAGAAGCAAGTATGTTTTCTCTGATTTGAAGGTGCCAGTGATGATGCAGTTAGTTGTTCAGTGATGCTGGAAGTCCTCCGAGTCTTGTCAACATCTTCAGAAGCTTTACAGCATGCTGTGGTATTTCTCTTCAATGGTGCTGAGGAAAATGTCTTGCAAGTGAGATTTTACTATTCTTACTACTAGACTTGAATAATAAGGATAGTAATAATAACAGTTGACACACATTTTTCATATTAGTAGTATCAAAATGATATGCAAAGAAATATTTTATCTTGCAGTATTTTAAAAATCCATTTACGTAGACATATTCAATATTTGTAAAACTCAATTTAGAACAAGTTACCCTTTCATAGCAATATGATTTTTTTTTCTTCTTTTTTGTGGTACTGAGGATTGAACCTCGCCCTTTTGCACTGAGTTATATCTCAATTTTTTAAAAAAATTGTGGGCTAGGGATATAGCTCAGTGGCACAGCGCCTGCCTGGCAAGTGCAAGGTCCTGAGTTTGATTCCCAGTACCCTGCCACACCCCCCAAAAAAGTTAAATTTTGAGGCAGGGCCTCACTAAGTCGTTGAATTGTCCAGGCTGGGCTTGATCTTGCCAGTCCTGCCTTGGCCTGCCTGAGTGTTAGGATTATAGGTGTGCAACACAGCTGGCTTCCTCTGATTTTCTTTGACCCTGCTGTTTCAGAGATGTTTTTAAGCAGGCACACAGCATGAATGCCCAGCCGTATGGGTTGTGCCTTTTCTTCTCTGCTTCCATTCTCTTTGCTGTTTCTTTTGCACAGCCTCATACTTACTGAGAATGTTGTTTAGCACCAGTTATAGTAATCAGGCTGCTCCTGTGATAGATAACTTTTCATCGAGCAGCCTGCACATGGTCATTATGCATAGAAATACAAACATCTTTGAGAAATTATTTTGTTCTCATACTATTTTTCTAATATAAAAAAACTTAAAGATTGTTTCTCTCTTTCTCCTTAAGGCCAGTCATGGCTTCATTACTCAGCATCCATGGGCCAGTTTGATTCGTGCATTTATTAACCTGGAGGCAGCAGGTGTAGGAGGGAAAGAACTTGTGTTCCAAACAGGTACGTGAGACTGTGCTTTGTATGTTTTATTGTGATTCTGGTTTTTATACAAGTGAAAAGTTTCTGAACTTAGTCCCTTTAACTAGTAATCTCTTGAATGAGCATTGTTTTTAAGACATGAAGTGGTTTCAGTTTGTTTTTGTTAAAATTTTTTAGCTAATATTAATAGATTGTAACACTTGTATGGTGCTTATTATGTGCCAAGTGTTATTCAAAACATCGTGTGTAAAAATCAAGATATGTCATGTGCAAATTCCGTATAATGACTGTGATCATTATGTGTATCTAAACTGTACTAATAAACTTAATTTAAAAAATCATGTGTGTATGTATGTGATGTTCCCCCTACTGTCCACCATATTGGGGATTGAACCTAGGGCCTTTGCACTGAGCCATATCCCTAGCCCTTTATTTTTACTTTGAGATAGGCTCTCACTAAGTTGTTCAGGATGAGCTGGAACTTACAATCTTCTGCCTCAGCCTTCCACAGTGCTGGGATAACAGGTGTATACTACTGTACCCAGCTCATATGTTTAAAGTCCTTAAATCCTCAAAAAAACCATGAGGTGTAAGTACTGTTACTACTCCAGCTTTATAGATTAGGAAACTGAGGCCAGAGAGTGTAACTCACTGAAGGTTTCACAATTGGTAAATGGCCGAGTAGGGTTTGAATGTAGGCAGTCCAGTTCAGAGGGTTTACCTTTAACCATTGGCCAGCTTGTCATATAAGTAAGTGAACATTCAACTTTTCTCAGGATAGCAAGGTAAAATTGAAAAACAAGTAAATAAAATTGAGTAATACTAACTTGTCATCTTATTAGAATTCAAAGCTCATAAATTTGTTTAGTCAGGCCTACTAATATCTGACATTGGAAGTTTCATGCCATTTCCCTGCTCTATGAGAAACTTGGGTAATGTATTTTATCCAGATATATAATATTTGCTAGAAGATTTACTATTGACAAGTGTGTTGAGTGAGGTGGGGTGTGGAAGTAAGTAATGTGATGTGGGAATTGGTAGCACCTTGGAAAGACATGTATTTTAGTTGTTAAGTTATGCTAGATATGTTTTCATAACCTAAAGTACTATAATTAAAGGATTTCTATCCTTATTTTAAATAACTTTTACCCTTCAAATAGATGTTTTACTTCTACTAAACCTTTGGGAATCTTGAGGCCATAAGGTCAGAAGCAGCAAGGTTCTGCTTTCTTTCTATTAAACCTTTCTACTTCCTCTTCATGTGATGAAGCTGGACTCTAGTATCTACGGGAGCAAGTAGCTATTACATTTTGTCCATTTCCTCTATTTCTTGAACGTCACTGAAGATAGAAACATATGCAACTAACACCAAATAAAAAAGCAGCAGCATAGAATTCTGTAAGAAGACACTGAGTTTTTCATTCCCTTTGTGAAAATCTCAGGGGTCCACAGGGGCAGCAGTATGTCTATATAGTTTCCTTGTCAGAAGTTCTCAGGGTCTTTATATTCTTTTTGGTTTTTTTTTTTGTTGTTGTTTGTTTGTTTTTTGTTTGTTTGTTTTTGTCCGGTACCGGGAACCGAACTCATGACCTTGCGCTTATATATTCTTGATTTATTGTCTTCATACTCCTGCTCCCCAGAATGAACCCAGTTTGATGGGCTAGTCTGTAACTTTCTTTGTGTGTGTGTGTGTGTGTGTGTGTGTGTGTGTATTAATATATTCTACCTACGTGTAATCCAGAGACGTGAAAACACATGTACCTAGGGTTCAGCTCCAGGCTTAAACCATTTCCTTTATTTACATTTATTGAGTACTCATTTGTGCTAGGTCTGACAAGGTCTTTACTCTTCACTAAATATATGTAGTTTTAGGTAAAAATTCTATAGCTACATAAATTTTAGAAATAATTGTAGTGTCTAAAAGGATATAAACAAATTTAATAACAGTCATAGCTAGGTGATGGATATTTGCTGGTGGAATTGAGTGACTATTCCTGGAGTGAAGGTGGGTGAAATGTAAAATAGCAGTTTGTGCTGTCCATCCTTTCCTGAAGTGAACATTAGAATTGGCATTACTACTTCATTTCTACTCTATAGTTTTCTGTATTGTTTAAAGTTCTGTGATAGGGGCTGGGGATTTAGCTCAGTGGCAAAGCGCCTGCCTGGCAAGCGCAAGGCTGTGAGTTCGGTTCCCGGTACCGGAGAAAAACCAAAAAAAAAAAAAAAAAGTTCTGTGATACCTATATTACTTTAATAAAGCAAAATCCAGACTTGGGAGTCATTAGCGGCCTATGTACAATTTAAATGTTTTATTCATTTAAAAATCCCTGTATTTCAAAATTAAGTTTTTTCTTTTTTGTAGTGCATCCTGCGAAAGATTTGGAGAGACTGTCTATCCCCTTTCTGTCTGTTGGTGTGTATGTGTGTGTGTATATTTTTGACGGGGGTGGTGCTTTGAGACAGGGTCTTGCAATGTAGTTTAGGCTGGTCTTGACTCACTGTGTAGCCCAGGCTGACCTTGAACTCGTGCCGATCCTCTTGCCTCTGAGTGCTGGGATTACAGATGTGTGCCACCACGCCCAGCTTCTTGGTTTTTCTATTTTTTCCTCCTAGTTTTGGAACTTATTCTTGTGGTAAACTGCATAAACAACTCTGAAAGCTGGGTGATTTTTAACATCCCAGTACCTTGCCTGTATCCCTCTTACTTCTAATACCACCACCCACAAAAGACTAACTTTCTTGTGAGTATGTCTTTCAGGAAGCTACCTAGTGTTTCCATGTTTGACTAAAAGACAATAAAGATCTCTCTTCCTACCTCCAGACTTGGAATTGTACTCAAGAGTGTATGCCTTACGGCTCTGTCCTCAGCTTTTAGAACAGGCATTTCCCCCCGCCCCATGGTAATACCTGTCCCATCCTGGAAACTTTGCAGTTAAAACACTTTGTACTCCAAGGTGCTGTGTTGTCACGTCTGAGAGATGTTCATTTGGGGGATTTTTAGTGACTAGAGTAATTTTTTAAAAGACTTACGTGGTTTTATAAAATGAGGACCAGAAAGAATTTATCAGACTAGTGACTTAGTGAGTTAGGAAGGCTTGAGTGAATAATTGGGAAGGTGTTATAAAATTCAAGCTTTTAAAATTTAAAACAGCAATATATGTTCCATTTTAAAATTTTTATATATTAGATGGGCATGGTGGTACTTGCATGTAAAATCATCTACCCAGGAAGCTGACACAGAAGGATTGTAAGTTCAAGGTCACCCTGGGCAACTTAGTCCCTATGTGCAAATAAAATAAAAGGGTTAAGGATGTAGTATGGTGGTAGAGCATGGGCCTAGCATGTGTGAGGCCCTGGATTAAATCCCCAGGATGATCCCCTCCCCGCAAAAAAAGATGCTACTAAATTTGAGTCCAGGATAGTCAATAAGCAAAACGGTCATAGAATCTTTTGTTTTCTCTTGTGAAGATACTGGTGTCCCTATATTTCTGCCACCGAGAACATACTATTGTTGTAATTTAGTCACACCTTTCTGGAATTTTTGTGTGTACGTATTGTGTGTAAATGTGTGTGTGTGTGTGTGTGAATGTTTGTGTGTCTGTGTGCTTACAGAGAGCACATGAGAGAAATTACTTAGAAAAAATGGGATCATTTTTGTCTGCTACTTTATAACCTTTAGGATGTATTCCTGTTTTTAAATTACAGCTTTATTGAGATATAACTCATAACTTGTAATTCACTAATTTAAAATATAAAATTCAGCATTTTAAAGGTATATTTAGTTGTGCAATCATCATAATTTTAGAACATTTTTTAATCACACCTGAAAGGAAACCCTGTGCTTATTAGCAGTTACTGCCATTTTTCCTGAAGCCCAGGAAACCACCTGTCAACTTTCTCTCTCTGCTGATCTGGCTATTCTAGATACCTCGTTTAAGTGTGGTTTTTTGTATATGGTTTTTTCCCTCAATATGTTTTTGAGGTTCACCATGTTGTAACATGCATTAGTACTTCGTCTTTTTTAGTGGCTGAATAACTCATTTTCTGTACACACCACATTTTGTTTACCCATCATCAGCTTATGGACATTTGGAGTGCTCTCATTCTTAGGCTGTTATGAACAATGCTGCTATGAGCTTTCTTTTGTAATCTTTGCATGAACACATTATTTCTAGTTTTGGGGGTTAGGTACTTAAGAATGTAAATTTATGTTTAAATTTCTAAGAAATTGTCAAACTAAACAATTCTGTTTATGTGGGTTTTTTGTTTGTTTCGTTTTTTCTGCTGTTGCGGCTTGAAGCCAGGGCCTTGTACATGCTAGGCAAGTATTCCACTGAGCGACATCTCCAGCCCTTATTTATTTGTATTCTATTTATTTATTTATTTATTTATTTTTTATCCAGTACGGGGAACTGAACTCACGACCTTGCGCTTGCCAGGCAGTCGCTGTGCCGCTGAGCTAAATCCCCAGCCCCTATTTAAATGTTTTATTTTTTGCAGTACTGGGAATTGGACCTAGGGCATTCTCATTCAGCTGCATCCCCAACCTTTTAAAAAATGTTTAAAATTTTGAGGCAAGATCTGACTGAGTTGCTAAGTTGCCTAGGCTGGGCTTGAACTTGCTGTCCTCCTGCCTCAGCCTTCCACAGTGCTTGGATTGTATGTGTGTGCCACATGTTTGACTTCTTTATTTTTATTTTGAGGCAGGGTCTCCCTAAGGTCTGCCAGCCTGGCCTTGAGCCTCCTGAGTACCTGGGATTGTAGGCAATACTTTCAAGTTTTATTTGGAAAGAAATACAAATATATACTTTGATTTCTAATTTTTAAAATATTATATTGGCAAAAAATGAGTAAAATGATAAGCCTGGAACTGGTGAGTATAGAAAAATAGGCATTTTCATAAACCATTGCTAGAAATATAGGTTGCCTTTTGGCAATATGTATTACTTTTTAAAATGTGCAGATTCTTCATTCCAGCAGCTCTAACTTCGGGGATTTTATCCTACAGACATAGTTGACAT